GCACACTCATTTGCAACTGTGAGGTGGTCACTCTCTCCACTTCCTGCATGTTTTTGTGTTGACGTATGATTGTAGCCCCTGGGGGAGTGACCTCTGTGCAGCCCAGCCGTGGCTCACAATCCCCCAGTGGGCCTGGATTTCTTGGCCATATTTGGCAGTTCTTTTTGGGCGAATGTTTGTGCCGATTATATGTATTTGTGTCCTGCTCGGGTTGGCAACACTGTGGGAGGTGGAAGCCGTGAATTTGCCACAAAAGCAAGTTGATTTAGAAACTGAGCATTACATGCGTTTAGCTCAGTCAAATCAGATTATGACTCCTAATGGATATTTGCAATATGAAGGACGTGTCGTGGTACCTGAGGTTGCAAGAGCTAATTTGTTGACAAAAGGCGTGAGGACAGAAGCGGAAAATACGCCATTCCCTGCCACTTCCTTCCGGCATGTGCCTCACCTCGCAGTGTCTCTCACTATAGTGTCGTTTGCTGGAACCCAAGAGAGCAGGGTGTTGAGACTTTGTGTGTTTGTGTATCTGTGTAGGCCTTGTATGTATGTAGGCCTAAGCCTAAGTTGGTAATGTGGGTTTCTCCCACATGTCCAACCTTCCGCCTAGCAGTGACCTTTTGTTAGACGGTTGGTTGGAAAACATTTTTTCCGAACTTTGAAGGCTTGTATCGACCGGCTTGCTTGCCCCGGCGGGAACACTGCTTGTCAGAACCCATAAGCCCACTACCTTTGGCTTACCTTAAACATTAAGCCACATCCAAACCCGTGACACAACGATCATTTTGTGGGATCTGGTACTTCTCACCCGACGTACCTGCTGCATACTCCTATTCCCAATTTTCGCAGAAAAGAAGCCACGGTTGTTTTCTTCACGTGCCTTGTTGCGCTTGAAGGGAAGAAGACGTCTCCCAAGCTTAGTTTCATTAGCTGAACAGTCTTTTAACCAGCGGTCTACCAAGTTTTGAGATGTGGGCCACTCGGATATTCTTGTCCTTAGCCTTGCAAAATATTTGGATTTCTTCTAATGCGGTCCTTCCAGGCTGAACATGAGCTCCGACGTGCCAATAATGAAAAAAAAAACCAATACAACAAGTAAAGTCAGCTTTCTCAGAAAAGTCAAATCGATCAAAAATTACCAGTAAAAAATGACTTTCTGACGAAGTAAAGCATAATATTCAGTGTAATTAATCCACCTGGCATGAGACTACCGAAAACTACACAAGGTTCAAGTACGCTCGTACCATCGTACTTAAGTAATTTAAAAAAAGAACTTAAAATGCATACTTCTGCCATGAAATTCTTTCCCCAATTTAAGTTTGCTATTCGCATGTATTGAATCGAACTCATAATTTGACATTGTGATTTCTGCATGACTCATTTCTTATATTCAATCAATCAATGAATTAAAGGATCCGGTTATGGCTAAGAGAGTCTGCACTGCAATCGCCTTTAACCCTTTCGCAGCTGAACCATATCCGGGACAGCGGCCGAGAGCGATGATGGAAAACGAGTGTATTCGGGAAAGGGCGACGAGCCGCGGTGAAAGGGCTAATGCGATTGCAGTACATCGAATTCGAGAGAAGTGTCCTCAGAATGGGGCGTTTTTGTTGAACTACTGTACTTATTTCGTCCTCAGTCAGGACGGTGCATTGGCATCGTCAGAAAATGAAGATGGGAACATAAAGTCAATGGGGAAATGAGTATTCTGGTCTGGGACGTTGGTTCACTCTGATGCCGGGGTTCGTAGTCTTTGCAGTATGGAGAGGACGCTGGAATTTCCTTTTGCAAGGCGGTGCATCAGGTGGTAACTGTGGCCTGCAGGAGGCTCGCAGGTGGGTTTGGGGTCGTGGAATTCTTTACGGGAGCATATTACACTGGTCAACATTTGAAGTGGATCACTACTATTATCCTTATTTACTTTTCTTCCATGTAAGCTGAGTCCAACTCCTATTGAAATCTTAGCCCGATCTTCTTAGGCGTATTATGAAACAATGTTTTGGCCCTTGCCTTAAAGGGATAAGGGAAACTTTCACAAAATCTGTTCACCTTGAATAACGAAGGACACTCATAGTTAGCATTTTGACTTATCCAGTGTGTGCATTCAGTATCCTTGCTTTGCCCATTGCTCAGAACTTCGTGTCAGTGCTCAGGGATGTCTCTCCAGCGCCTAAATGTTGAGCAGTTGGGTCGTGCTGTTGGTTTACTAGAAACGGGCCTATCGCAAAGAAGAGTTGCTTATGCTTTAAATGTATCGCAGAGTGTTGTGTCGAGAGCTTGGAACCGCTACCTAGAGACGGGTACTGTACAGTTCAGACATGGTGGAGGCAGACAAAGAAGAACTACCCCAGCCCAAGACCGATACTTGATTTTGACAGCCAACCGAGACCGATCTACCACGGCAAGATCTTTACAAGGACAGTTTTACAGAGCGACGGGGTTGCAAGTATCGACCCAAACCATTCGTAGAAGACTTCATGAAGGTGGTCTCAGGTCAAGAAGACCTGCCCGTCATCCACCGCTGACTGGGCGGCATCGTGCAGCTCGTTTAACGTGGGCCAGAGAACACTTGAATTGGGAACTTGATCGTTGGCAAAACTGCTTGTTTTGTGATGAGTCAAAATTTGTTCTTCGGCATGACAGTGGACGCTATCGAGTCTGGAGAGAGCAAGGTATGCGATATAATCCTGCTCTTATGGTCCCACGACACATGCATGGTGGAGGCTCAGTAACAGTCTGGGGTGGCGTTTGCTTTGATGGCCGCACAGAGCTAGTAATGTTCACAAATGTGACTGTAACAGCTCAACGATATCTGAATGATATCCTTCGTCCTATTGTGGCACCGTTTGCTGAAAGAGTAGGTTCAAATTTTTTGCTAGTGGATGACAACGCACGTCCTCACAGAGCCAGGATAGTAAACAATTTCTTGGATGAAGCGGGTTTGCATAGGATGAACTGGCCAGCACTGTCTCCTGATCTCAACCCAATCGAGCATATCTGGGATTTGCTCCAAAGACGTCTCGACAACTGCCCCCACGATCCACAGTCCATAAACGACTTGAGTAGAGCACTTCTTCAAGAATGGGATGCTATACTTCAGGAGGCCATCCAAAATGTAATTAGCAGCATGAGAAGGCGATGTAATGCTGTGATTCGGGCAAGAGGGGGTCCGACAAGGTACTAAGATTGCAATATTTCTTGAAATTCTCCGTGCAACCAAGAAAATAAAGTGGGCGGCTGATGTGCCTTAGTGACAGGAGTTGGAAAAAGTTATTCTTTTGGTAACCTAAAAGGTTAAACTGAGTAATTCTTTTTGTGTTTGTATCTCTAAAGAATATTCTGTAATAAATACTTGCAAAAAACTCAATAAGTTTCCATAGCACGATAAACTCATGACCTACCCAAGTGATCCACTTCAATCTTTGAGCAGTGTACATAGTGAAATTCGTGGTTGGTGAATCTCGTTAAGAGATGACGGTTAGTTTCATTCGCTCCTTTCCAGAACCGACAAGTGAAAGTCGAACCGTCCGTGAAACTTTCGACTTCGAAATCCCAACGCCTTTCGTTGACTTCGCCTTCGTATTCTGACCACACACGAATAAATGAAGCATTTCCTTTGATTTTATTTTTCAACATGAAAAGGAAGCTGGAAGTGGCCAATAAGAGCAATCTTGGACATCGAAATGTAAATTTGTATATATTAATTTATAGGGTAGGTAAAAAAAAGGTTCTGCCGTTTTCTGTGGGAGAAAGACATTTTGAACAATGCAGCAAAAAATTACATTGGATGCACAATCGATTTTTGACAGTTACAAGATGTTGAAATGCTTCCCAGATTTTTTTTTAGCACCCTAAGTCGTGGGTATAAATTTTATAATTTACATGAATCACATTTTAGTTTTCACCTTAAGTAGGTTTTTCTCGCTTTTGCTAATTCTTGGGGTCTTCCGTGTGGATATTTCCTCAAACCGAAATTCACAGGGATGACAATAAGGAGAAACGTTCCATGACCATTCAATTGCCGTAAATATAAATGTCGCAGCCCGTGTAATGGTATAGTACTGTATGTGCCATACAATGCCAATTTGATACTGGGTAATGAGGACAGAATCCGGTGTAGAAATATAATTTCAAGGATTTGAGAAAACCCCACAATGCAGCATGACTACTTTTATTTCGGAACAACTGACAACTTTCAAGTTGCAAAACACTTCACATTCCTGTGTCAACAGCATAACGAGGAACTGGGGAAACTGTAGAAAAAGCTTCGGACACTTTACAACAAAAAAAAACAGTACCTGATATTTATGGCCGGGGTATGGAGCGGCAAGGAACGCTGTAGGGAAGCACATTTTGTTGCTCGAGTATTTAAATGTGACGGCGATTTATTCATGAAAACGTATATTGCTCTGAGACCATTCTAGTGATTTATTACAGCTCTGTAGTCTGTCACTCCATCAATACGTATTCAATAGAATACGCAAATTTTTGCAAGTTTTTCCTTAGTTGTTTTGAAAAATACATTTTTTCTTTTTCTTTTTCTGATTCATTCCCACATTTGCTACTTTCTTGCGACGCCCCAGGTTCTGTGCTATAATCTTTTATTGCCATTTTTTTCCATCAGCTTACCTCTTCTAAACCATTATTTAAAAAATGTTATCTCACGCTTGTTCACCCCAATTTGATATTTGTTTCCCCTTTTTTCGCATTTCTTACCACCATTATTCTTTCTTTATTCTTAGTATTTTCTTTTTTTTTACTGTCTTTTACACTCCCTGGGGAAGGACGCCTAACACCTTTGAAAAGCCGGATTTTCCTCCCCTTCTTAATAAATTGACCAATTGTGAGTGCTCCTATATTGCCGTTCATTCTCCGAGTGCAGTTTCAGGGTCGCAGGAAGAGGATCTGCAAATATTGACAGATCCTGTTGAAGAAAACGGAAATATAGAAATCTCTAGTTGATTACCTCTAGCAAAATATGTATGTTCCCTGGCGCATTTCTAGGGGCTCAATGAGTGGAACACGATGCCCTGATCCTTGTCCTCGTCCTTGGAGTGCTCTTCACAGACTGGGAAGTGAGCTACCTTGGGCCTATTCCCCAGATTTACAAGTTACGAGCTACAAGTTACAAGTAGTTGCAAGGGTCATGCTTTGATCGCGTCAAGTGTCAGTGGGACCCGCTAGAAGAGTTGAAAAAGAAGACAGAACCCTTGCAATTACTTGCAACTTGTAACTTGTAAATCTTTTGTGGAATAGGCCCCTGTCCTTCTCTCATTTATTAATGAATTTCACTAGGGATACTAAAATATTATTTCCACCCAAGTTTTACTTGAAATGAAGGAGGTGATCATAAAATTCACATGTCATTCGTAACAGTTGCATCGATTTATTCACTATCACTTGAAGTGAATACTGTGCCTCCATTTGAATGAAAAGTGAAAGTCTCTTTTGCATGGTGGATGGGGGAAGAGACAGAAATTGAAGGAAGTCAGCGACACAAATGCATGAAAGAAAATGCTAGCTAGCACATAAATTTAAAAACGAGCAGAGAATATTTTCACTTTTGCCAGTTCATTAAGTTCTGTCTTGACGTTTATTGACTCTTTCATTCGTTGGAGAAGAACTTGTTGAAATTAAAATCCTTATGAAGAATGAGCAGCCCAAAAGATGAATTTTAACGGAATAAAACTTCCACATAGTCATCGTTCGCGTTTAACATACACATTTTTATTTCAATGTTTCGCTAGTGAACTCCACATGAGAAGCGAATTAGTATCTTAAACAATGTGCGATTGGAGATCACAAAACTCTCAAGTTGCATCAACGTATTCAGGATCATATATCACAAGTATTGGGACTTTATTTGAAAGAAAGGCGGAAGCCTCATATGCACACGGGAGAAAATGTAAAAGGCAAACGACGGGAGGAATGAAATTACCGGCAAGCAAAAATCTCGAAAAAGATGCAGAGTATCTGCCTTCGCAAATCCACAATTTTGCTTGGGCAAGCTAGGAACAGACTTAGAGTCAAGTTGGTTGAACGTCTTCTGGATTTTGAGGTTTACTTACTGGCGATCGACTATTCGGACAATTTCGATGACCGAAATGAACATCCAAAATTTCCCTGCATCTCCATAATGTGAGAACATCGATGTAAACCAAAATTTTCAAGCGTCGCGAGCGTTGAAAATTGCTCTGCTCAAGATAGCATAGGCAATATTCACTCCTCCTTCGTCAAGACAAGAAAATAAATAAACTGACTTTTTTTCATTCGTCATCCCCTATAGCGGAGGGATCGACAACTTTATAGCGCCATGTGATTGCGGCAGCTGTGAGAAAGTACAGCGCTGATGAGATTATTAGAAATTGTTGCTGATATTGCATTGAGAAGATTTGGTCTCGCATTATACTAGCAGCATATGTTGTCATCAGATAACGGTTTGATTTGAGGAATATATCCCATACGAATTCAAATGGATACAATTTGATCAGTGTTGATGTCAGCTGCCAAATTACTAATATTGATAGATTTCCAACAATAACTTTTCGAAACCACCTGAAGATACGACGAAATAGCAGCAATTCCAAAAAATTATACAGATTAAGAAAAATCATGATGAAGAAGAAAATGTCACTAATTTCAGGCGTTAATGTCCAAAGGAATGTTTGAAAATGCCAGAAGGTGATTGACTCTCCCGGATTTGACCCATACACATAGTGACCTTCAGGGGTAACGACAAGATACGAAGGAAACTGAACACTTGGCCAATTTCGAGATAGTGCCTCCCTTTCTGACTCAATGCGGGATGAAAATGCCCCAAACTGAATTCTCCCTTTGAATTTCGCTTGCAACGTCGCCAAAAAGAGAGGAATAACTTCGGCATCTGTGAAGAACACAACGCGCAGTGGCCCGCCGTCTGCTTGCTGCGAGGGATCCAGCCACTCCGATTCCAATTCCTCCACTGTCTTGATGTCTTGCACGTGAATCTTCAGCGTTTCTTCGATCCGCTTTAACATGACCTAAGTATTGACAAGCATTCACGGATTTCTAGTTAAGGGATGTTTACGCTTGATGGAGACTAATGTCATGAACACTATCAATGAAACTTCAGTAGTAAAAAATGGGGGGAAAAGGTGAGGAGTATGTTCTTGCTGACTCTATTTGCAATGTCTTTCCTTGAAGACGAGTATAATGCGAAAAGAAACCAATAAATTTTTTTACTTCAGATTTTCAATAAAGTTACATTAGACTCAATGATGGTCTGCCTATGAAAGTTCTTCCACCTATGCATACAAATCTACAAAATTAAACTATCAAAAGGTTTTCTGGGATTTTGGTGACGGTCCATCAGACGAAAGTTGTTTTCTCACGCATACTTTGAAGTTTCTCTAATTGAAATGTAAAATACATCGACGTTTTGCCACAAATCATTCAACTCCCTTTAATGGATCTCATCCCTTCATGCGGCAGCATGATCTTCCTCAGATTCTTAATCGATATGGACTTCATGGTGGTATATGGAGGCAGGACAGATTTGGCAATACATTTTTCTAATAGCATTTAAAAAGGCCACCTTCAGATAATGGAAGTGTTCTCACTCAGATCAGCAGAATGTCTGCATGCAAAAAGGTTTTAACTTTTAAACTCGGGTGCGCATTTACAGGGTTGGCACAAAAAAAAACCAAAGATTTCACTTTAGGTGAGTTTTCAATCTCTTAGGCTGCTGATTCTGATACAATTTCGTAAGAACATAAGGTGACTCAATTGAGGTTAGTGCAGAGTTTCGAAATCAAAAAACAAATTATGAGAATGGCATTTCATTTACAATTTATCACCAAAAAATAATTGTTCCTTTATCATTTATGCTTACAATTTTTCACAACTGACAAAAAAAGCAAAATAAAAAAGTAGAACAAAAACATTCACTAAATGCCAAAATACGAATGCCTAAAATTGGATTTAGATGTGTTCATTTCAACAGAAAAGGTGTCAAAGGTGCCCTTCATTCCGTTCAACAAAAGCCTCTAGTCTTGGGCGCCAAAGATAAATAGCTCAGTCAATAAATCTCTGAGTCAATAAAATCCCCAATCTTTCTCCATAGCCCATAGCAACATGCAGGAATGAAAGGATAATAAATTTGATTCTCCCATTCATTCCAGCCCCAAGTTCTTATCGATATTTTCGACAACACATTTTCTCGTGGGTTATCAGATAATTACATCTATAATTTAAGAGTCTGAAGGCCTAAATTCGGAATAAAAATTCCAATTGAGTCATCCTATATGCATACCATTATTAAGCAGAATCACCAGTCCACAATGAGATCGACGACTCATCAAAAATGACCTTTTTTGGACCACCCTGTAGTACCAAGAAGCATGTGGGGTCCCTCATGAAAAAAAAAAGAAATTTCTGAAACATGGATGGAAGCATTGCATTAAAATTTTGAACATCGAATTTGAGCTCATTCACCTTGATCGTGATTTTTCCAAACCTTCATTTCCGATTAAACGATGTACATATTTAATGATGCAGAAGGCACAGGTTTTTCTCCCAGAATAGACGAACGTTAAACAATTTTGGACATTGAACGAAATACAGAGATCAATGCATATTTTAGTGATCTCCGATTATATGAAATTGTTTACTATTTGCCTTCCCATGTTCCATTGAACTCTTTACAAAAGCCTACGTCACACCCAGGGCTACAAAGCAGATAACAAGATATAACCTCAATTTCCTCCATTTCCATATATTTTACATCCATACATTTCTTCTCTGTATAAGTCATATATAAGATGAGAGGGAGAGCGTTCAACTCATCACTATCTTCCAACGGATGAACATAATCGGATCTAGGTCGAGGTGAACCCATCAATGCAGGCAGATGCATATCCCTTTAACTCTCCCCATAGCACAAGCGAAATCGTATGAAATTTCAACATTCTTTAAAAATCTAATCCCCTTGTCCAAATCCAAATCCAAATCAAAAGAATCCAAATCAATCGATCCAAATCGAAAGAAAAATGAAAGCAAATTTAACAACAGTCTAGCAAAGATAACGAACGATCCAGACACACGAAATCAACTCACATTTGGCTTGATGTAGCCATTGATAATCACTTGATTATCGCTATTCAACTCTCTAGGGAATGTAAGGAGTATGAGGGGTCTATCCCACTTCTTTCTCTCACAAACTCTGAAACAAGAGTAAGGTCAACGGGCTCACCTTCACCTTAGAAAAGAATAAATAAAAAGCAGCTCTGCAAAGAGGAGCCAGAGCAGCCTTAATGAAGAATGAGCTCACACTGGAAGGAAACTGCAATCAAGGACTCCCAACCGAACTCCAAATGGAGACAGTTTACCGTGGATCTCTTCCCAGAAAGTGACCTCGTCCCACGAAGAGAACTTGTGACTTTGCTCTGGGACCACTAACACGAGCCAGACACTTTTTGTTTCCTCGACTTCCCCGCTGAAGTCATCCAAACTTGTAAACATGAGGACCGACTCGTTGGTGCGTTGAGATATTTCCCGAAGCTCACCTATTGTCACAGTTCCTGCAAATGTTCAGGAAGGACCGAACCACACATATATTAGCATTTTTTCATTTTATGCATTGTCCTCATTGTAGAGATGATTCTCATTGTCTAAGTACACGGAACTACCTTGACTGCTCTCAATAAAATCGATGGGAGTTTATTACGTACTTCTATTACCTTTGCTTTTTCCCCTGCTTTCCGCATTAATTGCTTGAATTCATATACAACAATAATTCAAATTCGCTTTCCATTATTCAACAAGTCAAATAATAAAAATATCACTGAACAGCAATCATGGATGTCTCGTGTGTAAAAGCTCACCGGTACTCTTCACCAACTGGACCATGTCCTTTTTTTCGATCGCACTTGTGCCATGCAGGCCCCGACCCTTGATCAAGCTCTTCAGCTCGAGAACACTCAACGTTGTGGGATCGAGAGTGGATGAAGAATTTGCGGCTCTTCCGGATGCACCAGCGATGTTGGAGGTTTGGGAGATTGCAAGCAGGAGCATCGCGTATCCTAGCAGTAGCATTGGCTTCAGCCACGTCCAGCGTCTTCTCTCTGAATTATTTCCTGGTACGTATGGCATGGCTGTGGCGCTGAAATGATCCGGGAAACTGTTTACTCAGGGAATGTCCGGGCTGCATATGTAAAATGGAAGCAATCATGCGAATTGAAAAATACGTCTTTTTCAGAAGTGAGAAAAAATGTTGAGAATTCTTAATGTGCACTGTTTTTTTTTTTACTCCGAANTAGCATTTAAAAAGGCCACCTTCAGATAATGGAAGTGTTCTCACTCAGATCAGCAGAATGTCTGCATGCAAAAAGGTTTTAACTTTTAAACTCGGGTGCGCATTTACAGGGTTGGCACAAAAAAAAAACCAAAGATTTCACTTTAGGTGAGTTTTCAATCTCTTAGGCTGCTGATTCTGATACAATTTCGTAAGAACATAAGGTGACTCAATTGGGGTTAGTGCAGAGTTTCGAAATAAAAAAACAAATTATGAGAATGGCATTTCATTTACAATTCATCGCCAAAAAATAATTGTTCCTTTATCATTTATGCTTACAATTTTTCACAACTGACAAAAAAAGCAAAATAAAAAAGGAGAACAAAAACATTCACTAAATCCCACAATACGAATGCCTAAAATTGGATTTAGATGTGTTCATTTCAACAGAAAAGGTGTCAAAGGTGCCCTTCATTCCGTTCAACAAAAGCCTCTAGTCTTGGGCGCCAAAGATAAATAGCTCAGTCAATAAATCTCTGAGTCAATAAAATCCCCAATCTTTCTCCATAGCCCATAGCAACATGCAGGAATGAAAGGATAATTAATTTGGTTCTCCCATTCATTCCAGCCCCAAGTTCTTATCGATATTTTCGACAACGCATTTTCTCGTGGGTTATCAGATAATTACATCTATAATTTAAGAGTCTGAAGGCCTAAATTCAGAATAAAAATTCCAATTGAGTCATCCTATATGCATACCATTATTAAGCAGAATCACCAGTCTACAATGAGATCGACGACTCATCAAAAATGACCTTTTTTGGACCATCCTGTAGTACCAAGAAGCATGTGGGGTCCCTCATGAAAAGGAAGAAATTTCTGAAACATGGATGCAACAGGTCTGAAACAGGTTTTTCTCACAGAATAGACGAACGTTAAACATTTTTGGACATTGAACGAAATACAGAGATCAATGCATATTTTAGTGATCTCCGATTATATGAAATTTTTTACTATTTGCCTTCCCATGTTCCATTGACCTCTTTACAAAAGCCTACGTCACACCCAGGGCTACAAAGCAGATAACAAGATATAACCTCAATTTCCTCCATTTGCATATATTGTACATCCATACATTTGTTCTCTGTATAAGTCATATATAAGATGAGAGGGAGAGCGTTCAACTCATCACGGATCTTCCAACCATCTTCCAACGGATGAACATAATCGGATCCAGGTCGAGGTGAACCCATCAATGCAGGCAGATGCATATCCCTTTAACTCTCCCCATAGCACAAGCGAAATCGTATGAAATTTCAACATTCTTTAAAATCTAACCCCCTTGTCCAAATCCAAATCAAAATCAAAATCAAAAGAATCCAAATCGAAAGAAAAATGAAAGCAAATTTAACAACAATCTAGCAAAGATAACGAACGATCCAGACACACGAAATCAACTCACATTTGGCTTGATGTAGCCATTGATAACCACTTGATTATCGCTATTCAACTCTCTAGGGAATGTAAGGAGTATGAGGGGTCTATCCCACTTCTTTCTCTCACAAACTCTGAAACAACAAGAGGAAGGTCAACGGGCTCACCTTCACCTTAGAAAAGAATAAATAAAAAGCAGCTCTGCAAAGGGGAGCCAGAGCAGCCTTAATGAAGAATGAGCTCACACTGGAAGGAAACTGCAATCAAGGACTCCCAACCGAACTCCAAATGGAGACAGTTTGCCGTGGATCTCTTCCCAGAAAGTGACCTCGTCCCACGAAGAGAACTTGTGACTTTGCTCTGGGACCACTAACACGAGCCAAACACTTTTTGTTTCCTCGACTTCCCCGCTGAAGTCATCCAAACTTGTAAATATGAGGACCGACTCGTTGGTGCGTTGAGATATTTCCCGAAGCTCACCTATTGTCACAGTTCCTGCAAATGTTCAGGAAGGACCGAACCACACATATGTTAGCATTTTTTCATTTTATGCATTGTCCTCATTGTAGAGATGATTCTCATTGTCTAGGTACACGGAACTACCTTGACTGCTCTCAATAAAATCGATGGGAGTTTATTACGTACTTCTATTTACCTTTGCTTTTTCCCCTGCTTTCCGCATTAATTGCTTGAATTCATATACAACAATAATTCAAATTCGTAAAGGTAATAAGTTGTTCAGTTTATTATTTTTATAGTGACTTGTCGTTAGTACCTACAGAGCACACATTTTCGAGTGGCCATGAGAAGTGGTTGACCTGGTACAGGAAAAAAAGCTAGCGTGAACACCCATGCAGGCCCCGACCCTTGATCAAGCTCTTCAGCTCGAGAACACTCAACGTTGTGGGATCGAGAGTGGATGAAGAATTTGCGGCTCTTCCGGATGCACCAGCGATGTTGGAGGTTTGGGAGATTGCAAGCAGGAGCATCGCGTATCCTAGCAGTAGCATTGGCTTCAGCCACGTCCAGCGTCTTCTCTCTGAATTATTTCCTGGTACGTATGGCATGGCTGTGGCGCTGAAATGATCCGGGAAACTGTTTACTCAGGGAATGTCCGGGCTGCATATGTAAAATGGAAGCAATCATGCGAATTGAAAAATACGTCTTTTTCAGAAGTGAGAAAAAATGTTGAGAATTCTTAATGTGCACTGTTTTTTTTTTTACTCCGAATTTTTACACTACAGTCTGGACACTGATCTCAGATCTCCAGAGCGGCTCGTTAGTAATGAATGTCAGAATGCTGGTTTATCTCCAAGGCCACCATTGTTAAGTCTAAAATAGCAATTATTCCATGATGTACTCTTGTGAAGAAACTGATAACTATAGTGTGAGTACAATCAGTCTTTTTTGTAATTTGGGGAAAATAGGAGGATTTGTGGAGGAGTATGAAGGTCTAGAGAAACCTTTCCTTCGTAAGAGAAACTTTTTAAGTAAGACGATGTTTCCCTAATATTTTTCCCATTTGGAATGACGGCATTGGGTATGAGCAAAACGAAAAAGCCTTTATGAATTAGAGAGATGACCTTTTTTTTTAATGAATGCGACATGGCGTTACTGCAAAATTGAAACGTGGAGTAAGTCAATACGAGAAAATTACTTCATATTTCGTGATTCACATAAAGAAAATTGAACTTCGGCTTTCCACTCTTTTATTGGACCTTTAGAATGAGAAACTCGAGCTAAAAAAGATTTATTCATTCTTTTATCCTAAACCGAGGGTCATCGGTTTCTCTGCAAAACTTTTCTTCAGCCCACAGATTCTCTGCGACGGCAAGAAACGCAATGAAATCCCTGTTCCACCTATTATGCGGAATCTAGAGGATCTATCACCTGCTCTTGCCAACTTAATAGTTCTCTGAAAGCCCTCATTTCCATGTTTTTCGTCCCAGTTTTTTAATTACTATTTGTGGCCTACTAGACCTGTGAAACCTTATTTGTCGCTCTACTAAGGAGAACTCTTCATCAAAGGAATCAGTGCTAATACTTTTTCAATAACTTCTTTTTATATAACTTTTCCAGCGAAAAGAAAACTCCATGACCATCTAAAGACAGGCTTGCCGAGCTACTCAAATACCATGGGCACCTTCGAACAATTGCCCAGAATTGCCATTCGACGATTTGCAACAACTTTTCGCTCCATTACATCACAATTTTCTACATTCTAGCATTCAAGGATTGGTTCCAGCGGACCCGTATCCGGACTCAGTTACCGTTATCTAGTTCGCATGCCGTGTTCATACTTGTAGCTAATCTATATTATGTAATGTGAATGACGCATCGTTTAAATATACAGACGATGACAAATACAGTTCACCCCAACATTTCCTTACTGTGAGCGTCGAAAATTTAGTTGGGTACAACGAATTAGGCCTTAAGTTTGGTACGACGAATTGGTGTGGCGCTGAAGGCACAATCCCTAATTAGATGCCAGCAGGTTGGTCATTACAAAGTGGCATATTATTGTGAGAATCACAACTTTTCCAGAATGGAAAGCTTCTCAATCGACGAATAGGGTTGGTAGTTTCAGGACAGGTTCTATTCCGTACTTTTTATTTCCTGAAAACTCAAAACCCAGATGAGATTTGGTTAGAAATCTAAGGATCAAGACGTATGTGAATTTCGCTGCCTCGCAATCTCTAGTGAACTATCGACCCAAGAAAAAAGAAACAGAGGAACTGGAGCACTTACCACTTGCTACAATACTGAAGGTCAGTCCGCTTGTCTACCTTAGCACCCCGTTTATATATACAATGTCCGGGCCTTCTACTTCGGTCACGGTGGCGTCTCCGTCTAGGATGGCTTACTCTAAGTGAAGGTATCTCGATCATTCCTCATCACAGATAATCAAGGCCCTATGGAATGATCTCTTCCCTGCCTCCACTCGACTTGATGTCATCCGCATTCACTATCTTCCACTCTTCCCTAATTCCCAAAGGCGAGTTAACACGGCTCGGAAGTGGATGCCACCGTCAAGCAGCTCGCCCTCAATGGAGCAAAGTCACGACCCTGCATTCTGATAAGATACGCGGCCCTAATCCAGCCCACACTATTTGCATCCTGTAGAGCAGCGGTACTCGAACTGCTCCCCGCGGACCACACGTGGCCGTGAAGGACTCGCATGCGACCGTCGAAAGCTAAATGTACTTTGCTTTGAAAAGAAATTCATTATGAACACGATTACCTTCACTTCCTAAAACCCTTTCCCTTTTTTCTCATGTTTGTCTCTTCGTTGATCAATCACATCCCTCTCCCTCCGTCCCATTTTCCTCCACCCTTTTCGGCAGTCGTTTCCACAATCCCGGCTCAGGTGAGTACTGAAATGTTGTCCTGACCAACATTCTTACTCTTGATTACCTCTGTGTGTTTATTTCCCTCATATATCCTCCCACCCTGCACGAATTTAGTCCCTGAGTTCTTGGCTTCCCTGTTTTGTATATTTTACATGTAATTTATTGGATTATTTCTCATTTTTAAATTTTTCCCTCGATTCCAACTTCTTCACTAGATATGTCTTCTTTCAATTGAGATTTAAGAAGACATCGAACCTAATCACGACCATTATATAAAAAAGGAAAAAAAAAAACAAATATTAAAGAGGAAACCGGTGTCTTTCAGTGAAGATGGGATGATGAGTTTTCCTTCGTGCCTGAAAAGAAGGAAGAAACTTCTCTGTGTTTGATGCGCGGTCAAGTTATTCCTGTCTTGAAACGAGTCAAACTGGAACGTCACCACAGCACAAAACTTGCAAAAATTTTTAGCGACTTCCCTTCAGGGTCGCAGCAAGGTTGCGAAAAAAAATTGCATGTTGAGCATGGAAGACCCATCACCTGAAAATGTAATATGGAGTCACGGCGAATTCCAAACTTCATTGACAAAACTTCCTCCGAGTGTGAAACTCGTAGAAGGACTCAGACTGGATGCGATCGACCCTCAGAAAAGAAACAAGAAGATTGTTTTTCGCGGAGAGAGATAAAGATTTATCTCTGGAGACGAGAGGGCGAGGATGGTGAGCATCATTATGATGTTATCATCTCAATGGCAGTGTTCACCGGTAATAAATTTTATTGTCACAATTGCGATAAAGGATATGAGAAGAGGTGGGAGCATCACTGCGAACAGCACTGCAGCACATGAATGCCGGAAAGATGAATCCTTTTGCCCTCTCTGCAGGAAATATTGTAGAAATACGGTTTGCATGTGTAATGATATGGATGGCATGGAGAGGCACGATCGAATGTCCCGGGTTCGGTGGTGTAGTGGGAGCACACCTGACCGGCAATCAGGAGGGGACCCAAGTTAAGGGTCGGCTGGGGACCGAAAGAAAGCAGGAGAGGACGGTAGGTTAGAAGGCCGGTAAGAGTACTGTGTACGTTGTCCTCAACCATGATGCCACTGACAGTAGCTTTAAAGCTCTCCAAATAAATCCCTCAGGATAAACATGTAGTAACCATGTCTGCAAGGGTTGTAAAAAAAACCCTGATTCCAGTCATCTCTGTCATCGTTCACGGAAGGATATGAAGGAAAAGGAAAATCCATATTTTTCGATTTTGAAGCCGATCAGTAGGAGGGTGGAAAATATATAGCAAATTTCTGTATTGCACAGTACGCCGATGGTAAGAAAGTCATATTTTCCAGTTATGACACCGAAAAGAAATTCGGGGAGTGGCTCTTTCAAAGGAAACACAAGGGATTTTCAGCAATTGCCCACTGCATGAAATCCTAGGATGGAGATTTTTTTTCTCTGATACCTTCTGAAGTATGGACTGACACCCAAAGTGATAATGAACGGCGCCAAAATCATGTCCCTTGAGGTACCCCCTCTTACAAAATCAGGATTATTGATTCCTACAATTTCCTCCCCATGTCATTAACGAAACTCCCGTCTACCTTCGCCCTGGAAACCATCTGTAAGGGATATTTTCCTCATTTCATGAATGATCGTGAACATCAACATTACGTAGGCCCTATCCCACCTCCCGAAGCCTATGGATGTGATTCTATGTCATCCCCTGAGAGAAAAAAATTGTTGGAGTGGCATCAAGAGAAGAAAAATGAGGATTACATCTTCACCGTTCAGGATGATATGGAAAAGTATTGTCGTTCTGATTTTGACATTTTGAGGCGGGCAAGTTCCGCCTCAAGTTCCGAGATCTTCTGCTTCAGGTGGTTCATTGCGACCCTTTCCAATATGTGACGATAGCATCGATCTGCCACGCCATTTCATCAAGCCTGATACGATAGCCATGGTTCCTTCCCACGGTTATCACCTAGAATCATTCTCAAAGGCCAGCATCGAATGGCTAGACTTCATCGCACACGACCAGCGTATCAAAATTAGGCACGCGCTGAACCATCCAGTCGGTGAAGAGAAAATCGGATTCTTTAGGGTGGATGGCTTTCATGTGGAATCTCGGAGCATCTTCGAGTTTCGCGGTTGCTTCTTTCAGTGCTGATCATGAAGTCATATTCACCCCATCAAACAGCTTTCTGGGGAAACTTTATTTCTGAGGACTGAAGAGAGAGAGAGGAATTTGGAAAGGATGGGTTTCAAGGTTGGCAGCATCTGGGAGTGTGAGTGGAGAGGTTTCATCAAATGTCTCATTCTCCCTCCTAGAGATCTCTATCGCCCCGCGCTTCCATATCGGATCAATAAGAAACTCATCTTTTTTCACTCTGCCGGACTTGCGCTGACAACATGCAGCAGGAACGATGTCGGCATACCAACGAAGAAAGGGCCATACGAGGGGTATGGGTAACTGAAGAATTGTAAAAGGCTGTGGAGATGGGCTACGTCATTTTGAAGACACAAGAAGTTTATCCTTTTCCCATAACATGAGCCTACATTGACACCTTCCTGAAAATCAAACAAGAAGCTAGTGGCTGGCCAACTGGATCAAGTTGATGGTTTCTTTACTCACTTATGTAGTCTACAATGCTCCTAGTGCTCCCA